TGGAAATGCGTACTTCCTTCTCCTCCCTCTGTTGTCCCGCTGTCCCCTGGAAATGCGCCTGACAGTAACCCTGCCTGTGCCTCCCCTTGGGCCCTGCCAACAGCACCTGGCCGGCCCCCTGCACCCTGGGCTCCCCTGACTCTAAAACCACCTTCAGCCCCGGAGCCGCTGCCCCAGGCTACTGCCCCTGCCCAGGCCACCGGCCCGGGAGGAAGGAGGAGGAGGGGCCTGCAGACCCCGATGGGGACACCCGCCCCGGTCAGGCGCCTGTGGTCCATCTTGGGAGCAGAGTAGTTGCCTGGTTTTTCTCCCCAAGACAGTCTCAGAGGCGAGGACCCGCCATTTTCAGATCCTTGGAGTCTCCACTGGGTGGGGAGGGGTATTCAGCGTGGCCTTGGTCTCGCGGGAAATGTGGCGCCCGTGTCCCCACGCGCCCGCTGTGCTCCTCGTCCAGGCGCCGGCCTCCTCCGCTCTCTGCAGCCCCGGACCCACGCGCCCCAGCCACCCTTCTGCTTGTTCGGAACGTTCCCGCACCCCCCTCCCCAGCCGACGACCCCCTCCGGGAGGTGTCCGCACACCCCACTGACACGAAGGGGCCCTGCCACCCTTTCCATGGCATTGCACGAGTGACTGTTTGTCCCCCTGTGCCCACGTCTACTGCCGGCTTCTGGTGCTGGGGTGGCGGGTGCCGGGTGGGCTGCACAGCCCGGGGCCGGGAGGAGCGCTGGTCCCTGGAGGCAGGTGGGGGAAGCCGCTCCTCCCGAGGGGGTCTGCGTCCCCGTGGAGGGCACGTTGCTGTGGACGGAGGCAGGGCGCTGGGATCCGGGTCTCCAGGGCGGCACTGACCTGAACAGTGAGTTACCACTGAGCAAGGCTGGTCCTTTCCTCCTTGGCGGGTCTGTTCTGAGAGTGACAGGAGCCCCACCAGGTGCCCCCCGGGACAGGGCCGCCCATGGAGCAGTGGCTCTGCCTGCGTGCGTAGGTCTGGCAGTCCGACGGTCCGGCTGCCTCCCAGCCCTGTGCGTCCCACTACCCGGGGTGGCGATGAGGGACGTTGGGGGGACAGAAGAGTCAAGATAAGGTGAGAGCGTGAGAAGAAGATTCTGGAACCGTTGTGCCACCCCAGAGGGGACCAGATGGTCTAGGCATGGTCATCCTGGGAGGGGGCGCGCACCCTGAGATGCCTCCCAGTTCTAGGGGGACAGAGAAGCAAGCATGGCCCTGACCGGTGTGGCTTGGGCGTCCTCCTGAGAAGCCAAAGGTGGCGGGTTCGAGTCACCGTCAGGGCACAGGCCTGGGTCTCAGTCTGGTCCCTGGTGAGGACGTGTGTGGTTGGGGATGTACAAGAGGCAACAGACTGATGTTTCTCTCCCCTTCTTCCCCCCTTCCCCTCTCTCTAAAAAATAAACATTTTTTTTAAAAAGAAAGAAAAAGAAGCAAACATGCCTTGTACTTGAAGGCTAGCGGTTACCTGGTCTGCTTCTGCTGAGAGAGAGGAACCCCCTTTTGCCAGGAGGGAGGCCCCAGGCGGAGTCCCCTGTTATTGCCCCGCCAAGCTGTAGGAAAGGAGCCCCCACCTCGTTTCCCCAGACTGTGGCGTAGAGACAGGGCGCTCTGCAGACCCCTGACCCAGGAGGAGGGTGAACAAAGGCAGAGCAGGGAGGCGGGTGCAGCCAGACTGAGCTGGGCGCCCAGGTTCCCCCGTGCGGAAGGCCGGCAGCATCCCACGTGTGTTTACGCAGCACAGCAGCAGTGTGGGGGCCCGGGCACCCAGGCCCAGGGCTGCTCAGCCCTCAGAAGCAAGGCCCAGACAGAAGGAAAGTCGGCGCCAGAGCTGGTGGCTGCAGCCTCAGCCAAGGCACAGCCGCCCCAGGTGGGGTCGCTGGGCGGACGGGCCGAGCTGGGCAGGGTGGGCCTGGGAGGCATGGCCCAAGAAGGAAGACCAAGCTGAAGTCAGAGTCGTCTCCCAGACTCAGAGGCTGGATGCAGGCAGGGAGGGGCGGTGTGGGCGTGGCCAGAGGGCTGAGAGGGGGTGTCAGGGTTCTGGGGGACAGTGTCCAGCCCTGGGCGCTGCAGGCTGGGCAGAAAGCGCCCTTGGATGAGGACTCCGCATCCTGGCTCTGAGTTAAATACGTTATGCCCCTCTTAGGAACAGGGAGAGAGTGGGTCATCCCTGGGAGGCGGAGGGGTCACAGTCCAGGCCAGAGCGTGGCCTTGGCAGGACTGAGGGGGCTCCCGCTGCTGCCCCCGCCCCGCCCTTGGCCTGGGGCTGGGGTGCTGAGCTGTGGTGCCCTGGGGGAGGTCAGATGTCCCGCCACCGGAACTGCAGGCCGAGCCCCAGATGGGCGGAGCCACCAGCCCTTGCCCCTCCCCAAGGCCCGGCTCCCCCTGTGCCTCACTATTTATAGATCACTTTGCAGTTTGCAAAGCACCTTCGGAAACGATGTTACTGATCTGGCACCTTGGCTGGAGGAGCAGGGGGTGGATTCAGGTGTTTCCCAGACTATCCTGGGTGGCTTTTCCTGTGTGACTCTGCCTCAGTTGCTTGCCCTCTCTGGGCTGCAGGGAGCCCAGCAGTGAGAAGGCAGTGACCAGAGGCGTCTGGAGGGTGGACTTGCCAGGCTTCAGCAAGCTCTGGAGTCCACAGACACCCTACAGAAAACCCATTCGCTGGGCTCCCGGAGAGCAGACTCAGACGAATTACCGTCTTTCCCTCAACCCAGCATTGAAGCCCTGAAGGCTTCCTGAAGGCTTCCAGAAGCCAGTTCATTCCCTGGTCCCTGAGCCCTAGCCAAGCCCCGTTTCAGGACGGGGGTTCGGAGAGATTTCTCATCCCTGCGCGGCCCTATTTTTATCTGGAATGCTCTTCCTGCGACGCCAGCCACGGGCGCCTTTGGAGCCACGGTGAAGTGCGTGGTCAGCAGGACTGAGCAATAAATAGCAGCGGACAGAGAGGCCGATCGGCGCTGTGGGCAGGAAGTTAGATGGAAGTTGAACCCATCGTCGGCTCAATTGGTCACAGCGCCGCCCCCTATCCCCAGCCTCCCCCGCTCCCCTCGGAAGCGTTTGCTTCTGAGCTCTCCTAACTCTATAACGAAGCTCAGGCGGCTGTCCTGTAGCTCCGCCCACCGGCACTAGCCACCCCCCACCCCGCCCCACCCCCGGGGCTCCGACCCCCGCTTTCGCTTTCGCAGTGTTTGGGGAACTCTGGCATCCTGACTCAGGGTGAATCCGGTCCCGTCTTTAAGTGGAGTCAGCGCTTGGTGTTCAGGCAGGGATGGGCGTGAACTTGAACTACAGAAGGAAACAGTAGCGGGGTCCTGCCTCTTCCTCCAGAATCTGCTCCCAGACCTGAAGGCCCAGGGCCCTAGTTTCCCAGTCTCTAAACAATCCCTCGTCCTGCGCACGTTTTTTAAAAACCTCACTCGAGGACAGGCTTTATTGGTTTTAGAGGGAGAGGAAAGGAAAGAGAGAGAGAGAGAGAGAGATGGGCGTGTGAGTCAGAAACACCTATCGGTTGTCTTTCCCACGTGCCCTGACCAGGAACTGAACCCACAACCTAGGCATGTGCCCTGACCGGGAACGGAACCTGCACCATCTCGCTTTATGGGACGATGCTCCAACCCACTTAGCCACCCAGCCAGGCCCATCCTGTGCACAGCGGGACCCCATCACTCTTACTTTGGAGGGGAACCGAAATCAGAAAGCATGGAGACACTTTGAGCACAAAAACGAGGGCCCAGGAAGTACGTGTGTTCACACGTGTGTGTGCACGTGTGTGGCGCATGGGGCAGCCACTGGAGGGTGCGCACCCCGCCTCTGGAAGCCTTGACCAGGGCAGGGTGCGGCAAGGCCCTTTCAGCAGCCCCTCCGGGCCGGCAGCCACAGGCCTGCAGAGGGTGTGCAGCCCGTGTGATTGTTGCGGTCGTCACAGTCACAGAAACTAAAGCCTGGTAGCTCTGGGACCGGACACGTAAAGAACATCATTGAAACCAGGCGGTCACGGAGGCAGCGTGTAACTTCACAGAAGCGGGGAGGCCACTTCCAACACTGGCTGACTCACCCGCTGCATCTCGGTGACGGAGACTGCCGGCCCGTGGGAGTGGGCGGGTCCAGGGTGCGCTGTGGCCTCTTCAGCCACCTGCAGGCACCTTGGTGGGGGGATAGTCACCTTACACCGGTCACCTGCACCGGAGGCAGAGCAGGGGCAAGACCCACTCGGGGAAGCTACTTCCTTCAGTAAAAAGGAGCAGGAGGGTCGCAGGGGCGAGCGTGTCAGCGAGGACAAGCATGCAGATGACTGCCCTGAACCTGCACCTGTCCCTCGGGAGGAGCCACCCCTGAGGTCACCCCAAGGTCAGGACAGCCCTTGTGAAGGCCGGTCCCGGCCCTTCCTACAGAGAAGCAGTCAGTCCCCAGACCAGCTGTCCAGTGGGGTGGGTGCTGCTACTGTCCTTGTCTCCGTACAGAGAGACAACTAAGGTCATTTGCCCAAAGTCACCAAGCTGGGGACAGGTGGACAACGCAGTGGCTGAAGCTGGACCGTCCAGTCCTCCTCGCCAGGCTGCCTGCCTCTCGTGCCGGGCACTTATTAATTCTCCAGGTAGTTGAACAGGTGAACACTCCCCCCGAGGCATCCCATGAAGCAGAGGGGACAGGACCTCAGACAGGTGGTGAACTTGGCCACGATGGGCACCCCTTCCCGTGGCCTGAGGAGCAGGGGTTTGGGTGCCTCCCGGACCCCTGGGCGCCCCTCCGGCTCCCAGAGCCACAGCCGGGGCCAGCACACCCTCCACAGTCACTGCATGCACTTGACTGAATGGTTTAAAAAAACCCGACACTTTGCAGGTAGGAGCCGATTGCAAAATGCAGCTCGAAGACCCCAGCATCACGGCTCAAGGCCACAGACCAGTGGCCGCTGTGGCTGCCGTGTGGACACCGAACCGAGCCGGCCTGAGTGCACGGCTTCTGTTAACTGTCGCTTCCTCTCGGTTTGCCAGGACAGACCCTCGGAGGCCAACGCCAATGTGGACACCTCGGCGTCCCCGTCAGTGGCCCAGCTGGCCGGGCGGTTTAGGGAGCAGGCAGCTGCCGCCAAGGAGGTGAGCCAGGCGGCCTCGCAGCCCTGCTTCGGGGAAGGGGGTTGGGGGGCCTGGAGGAAGGGGAAGTCTGGTCAGGCCAGAGGAGAGGGAGGGAGGAAGCTTGATCGTTACCAAATTAGGAAGAGAAGCCATGGAGGGGGTCCCCCTGCAGGTGAGGAATTCACCGCTGCTGGGCCTGGGCCGGAGCCTGCCCAGCTGAGCGAGGCTTAGGGTCCGGAGCCCGCCACCCGCCTGCCCACCAGAGCCTCGTGTCTGTGTCCAGTGCCGCCCCAGCTCCTGCTGATGGAGGCTTTGGGCTTGCCCAGCCGTGCCAGGCCTGGGCTGGCTCAGAAAGGAGACGTCCCCACCCCGGCTGCTGCCGGAGCCCAGGGACACCAGCGCTGCATCGTGGTGGACCAGCGCCGAGGGGCTGCCGTCCAGATGGGTGGCCGGGGACTCGGAATTCACGTTCACGTTAACGGCCCACCTCAAGGACAAGCCACCCCTCCCTGCGTTCTCTCCACCAGACACCCCTCAACACCCCTCAAACCATCTCCACTTCCTTCCTCTTCCTCCCTGTTGCCTGATTTGCTCTCTCTCTCTCTGTGTCTGTCTGTCACTCTCCCACCCTCCAGATACCAGCCAGTAAACCGGCCAGAAGGAAACCACCCTGCTCCCTCCCCCTGTTCCCCCCCAGGGTAGAGCTGGGCCAGAACGGAGAGGAGGTAAGTGCTGCTCGTCAGCGTTCTTCCTCCTTCTTCCAGCAGAGGGCGCAGGGCTCAGACACTTAGCCCTCCAGGCCTGGCTGGGCGATGCCCCGTTTTAGATTCAGGGACAAATCTTGCTGTGTCCTGGATGCTGAGGGACGGCCCCTTGATGCAGACCACAAGGCCCCTTCCATGCTCCCTTCCTGAGCCTCCTTTGTGACTGACCGGTCAGGGCAGGAACGCTGGTGTTCAAGCCTGGGAATTTGAGCGTGGAGGACAGGACAGGCCTTCCCTCCAATCTGGGAGCCCCGAAAGTTATGCTTCCTCCCGGGTCTGACCTCGTGCTCTTCCGTGTAGAAAACCACCCGGAGAGGGGGACCCCCCTGTCTCAGGTGGAACTGTGACGTGACAGTTGGGACTGGCTACTGCTCTGGGTCATGGGGGGGCTTCACAGCCCTCAGAGAGAAATGGCCGTGAGACCCATGGGGGGAAGACTGGTGTCCTTGTCACAGCCTGAGATGGAGCCCAGTCTGAAGGCTCACTGACGCTTGTCACCTCGTTTGGCTGTAGGAGCCACCTCTGCAGGCCCCCGTCCCCGTGGCCCATGATCCTTCACTGTGGCCATGGTCCCTGCTGGAAAGGGACGTGCTTTTTTTCTTGTCCAGCCTGGGGCCCCCGCAAGCCAGGGACGGTGCCCGGACCCCACTCCACCCCTGCTGCCCCCTTCCCGTCTGGGGCCAGTGTCCGACGACAGACACTTACGCCTGTGTGATCTGGGGCCACCTCTGGGAGCCTGCGTGGTCCCGCCCTAGAGCGCCTCACTGGGGCAGGTCGGTGGTGTCCAAACCTTGTCGTCAGCCCAAGGGTTTCAAGCAGAAACCTGTAGGAAAAGGCAGACACTCAGGCCACTTCTGGTCAGGTGGGGAGGGAGGCAAATTCTGCTCTGAAAATACCCCACACATACCGAGCAGGGGTCTTCTTCCGGGATGGGGACACCAAGAAGCACCGGTGTGGAAACACTAAGCTTTCTGATGGGTTCTCCTAACATCAGGACTCCGTGGCTTCGTGGGGGCTCGGCCCGGGCCATGACCGAACAGATACTGACATTTCCTCTGCTGAGGGCCTACTCCTCCTTGTGACCGCCACCCTCTGGGCTTGGGCTCTGTGCTGGGGCAGGCTGAGGCTGCCCCCTGCGGCCCCAGAGAGTCCCTGCACCTGCCTCCTTTTTTGTCAGATGGGACAAGAACATTCACCAGACAGAGGATGGGGGCCAGATGGGGGCATTCTAGTTTCTGGGTAAAAGCAGAGGGAGTCAGGTTCATGCAGGGGCTCTGGGAGAGACCAGTTAGCAGGTGCCGCCCCACAGGCACCCCCCCCCCAGCACTTAAACTGCACAGGACAGCCAAGGGCCGGGTCCATGGCAGGGTGGACCTTAGAGGGAAGGTCCCGCGGGGAGGGACAGGCTGCCCGCACACAGGAAGGACATCATTCCTGGGCGCACTGACTGCTGGTCTCTTTGGAATCCACACAGAAGGAGCAGTGGGCTTCACCTGGCCGGGCTGGACGGGCGGCGGCCCTGGCTCCACCAGCAGGAACCCAAATCCTGGGAGGCTGGGGGGCCAGGAGGCAGGACCCTGGGCAGAAGACCCCTTGGTTCCTAATGCTGGAAAAGTTTTCCCACCCCATTTTCTTCCCTGCTTCTCCTGCTGGTGGGGAGGTGGCTCAGCCCCTGTAGACTGGGCCACTGGGCTGTTTAATGTGGCCACAGACCCTGCCTCGTCTGCCCTGAGATGGCTGAAACCCCTTCTGCAGGTCAGGTCCGTAACTTGGAGAGATTATTGGGATGGCCTGTCTGGACAAAGATCCAGCCCCAGAGGCCTGAGGGTAGCTTTTCACCGCACTCCCAGCTGCTGACCTTAAGCCCGGGGTAAATGGCAAAGGAGATGCTGCCACCTGCTGGCGTGTTTGGGAACTGCATGAGCGGCCCTTCTGAATGCTGCTTTGCAGTTCGAATCAAATCCACCAGGATTTGGGGAGCCTGAACGGGGTTCCCAGACGCGTCCTGTGGGGACGGGGCCGTGCTCACTAAATTTCCACCCTCTTCAAAAGGCAGGGGTCAGGTGGGGAGGGGAAGAGTTTACAGTACTACGGAAGGAGAGGTTGGTCAGCAAAATCGCCGCTGCAGGTTCTCAAACAGCATCTTCAGAAACACTGGCTCCTGTGAACGTTCACCTTCAGACACAGCGATGAAGGATGACCCAGTCTGGGCTGGAAGTTCTGGGTACTCCCCACGGACACAGGCCCCTTGAAGGACTGCTTGTGTTGGGGGCCATGCCTGGCTGTGTGAGCTCAGGGCCAGAGGCCCCTGGGAGCTGGAGCTGGAGCTGGGTCTGCCCTGGGGTCTCGGATTCCAGCCTGCCCGCCAGGGTCTCAGTTGGGGAGCTGAGGCAGACTTAGCAGGGGTCCTTCCCCTGGGTCCCAGGCAGGGACTGTCCCCTGCGCCTCTCTCCTGCAAGGCCGGGCCCCTTACACAGGTCACAGCAGTTCCATCGAGCCAGCCTCCTCCTTCTGTCACTGAACTTGTCACCTCAGGACATTTCCTGAGGGGGTCAGTGCCATGCCTCTTCCTGTGACTCAGGTCAGTCAGTACATGGTGGCCAGCGGCAGGGACAGGGGCTCAGGCGGGCCTCACAACCACGGGAAAGTCCCTTTTCTGCCCCGGCCTCTGTCCACAGCACGGGGCTGCTGCTGCTTCTTGCCCCAAAACGTGACATTTTTTCTTCTCCTTCTTCCACTTCTTCATATTCATCATCATCTTCATAACCACCATCAATCCTACACATGAGGATCCATGTGCCTGGGGAATCACTCAGTTGTGGGGATTTTGCACAAAACAGAAAGGAATCCCTCTTTTCAGATCACATAACATCAAAGGCAGATCAGATTTCTACCTGCATCCATCCCCACGTGTATCTGCAGCCAACAGAGCGCATCTTTATGGAACCACCACAAGGCCTGGGCTGCGGTCAGCATTCCAAAAATGTCTGCTCAATCAGAGTGAACATCCTACACTTTTTAGAAAACGATGATTTGTGGTGGAATTTTCCAACGTATCATTAGTGCCAGGGGAGAATTTCCAAAATACGGCTGTCGGGTTTCACTCCCGGTCTGTGGTTTCATACTTTGTGACCCGCAGAAGGGGGTCGTCCTGCCCTTTATCTCTGAAATTCCCCACAGGCGTGGGCTTCTGCTGTTGAAGGCCATGGGCGTGCAGAAGTCCCCTCTCAGAAGCAGTCTGTTCCCCCAGGATGGCCCTGAAGCCACTCTTCCCGGGGCAGGAGGCCTGCACTCCGGATGTCTGTCCTGTCCACTCTGGCTCTTGGACTCAGTGGTGGTCTAGCCAGTGGAGAGACGGGGGCGGCAGGGGCCCGGGCAGGCTGCAGGTCACCGAGGCTGGGTGGTGACACCAACTTCCCAGCCACCTGTGGCTTCTGGGCTGCGGCCGGTGCCCCGCCTTCCTCCATCTCACTCACCTGGCTCTTCTGGTCCATTTGCCCTGCAGAAATCACCGCCCAACTCGGGCCACTTCCCCAAAGTCAAGGTGAAGAGCTCGCCTCTGATCGAGAAGCTCCAGGTAAGCAGAGAACAGCGCCCACTGCTACCTCCCCCCGGACCCCGCCTCTCATCCCACATGGGCCGTCTTTGTGTCACCTGGAGAGCTGACCTCTGACACCAGCTAGAGGCCCAATGGCCCTGAAAGATGAGGACTCTCCCTGGAGACAAGGGGCCAAGTCAGGCCCCTGCTGAGCTCACGTAGCTAACACCTAACAGTGGTTGGCTGGTAACAGAACACCTCAGCAGTCTGATGGCAGAAGGACGTCACAGTGCAGGGGACACTCCAGAAATAGCCAGGCCCTCCCCCACCCCCAGCCCTGAGGGCAGCTGCCAACCTCACCAGCCTCTCAGGGGGCTGCAATTCAGCCGCCCCACATGGCTGAACCCCCAGTTGGGCCAGCACTCCGCCCAGCCCTGCACGGATCAGGTCACCAGCGTTCAGGAGCCGGGCTGCTTGCTCCAGGCCTCGTGGGGGAGACGAGATTTTTACAGGTGATGCCACAGGGACCACATGAGAGAGTAAAACCAGACCTGAACCGTAACGACCCCACTCCTTCCGCTCTAGACCAGGGTCCCTGCACCGGAACTTCAGTGCGGCTGGGTCCTTTCCCCGCCTCGGGGCTGCCCGTGGGTTGGAAGGTGTTTAGCAGCATCCCCGCTCCCTCCCCACGAGATGCCAGTGGCACTTCCCAGCAAGTGGTGACAACAAAGAACGTCTCCAAGCCTTCACCAACTCTCTCCTGGGAGCCAACTCGCCCCCACCCCGGTGACACCCCTGTCCCGAATGCTGGAGGTGTCCTCGGCCAGGCATCTCCTCTTCCCCCGCCCTGTTTGAAACGCCCCTCTTGTCCCCACAGGCCAATTTAGCCTTCGACCCCACCGCCCTGCTGCCGGGGGCCTCGCCCAAGAGTCCGGGACTCAAGGCGGCGGTGTCCCCGTTCCACAGCCCGCCTTCCACTCCCAGCAGCCCCGGCGTGCGGCCGCAGGCCGGTGAGCCGGAGGAGGTGCCCATCAGCTTCGACCAGCCTCCGGAGGGCAGCCGCCTGCCCTGCTGCAACAAGGTGACGGCGGGTTCGGGTCTGCGGTCTGTCCGCACGTTCCTGTGAGAGCAGGGCACGTCCGGGCTGCAGCCGGAGCTGGTTGTCAACCGAGCAGAAACGCCCGCTCCTCTCTGCACGCGGCCCCGGAGCTGAGACAGCCCTGCCCCTCGCTGCCGGTCTCCTCCCCTGCCGCTGCATCTGTCTGCAGCCAGGCGGGCGTTGGGGTTGGAGAGGGCTGTCTGTCCCTGGTGGAAGGAAGGGTGGGGACTCAGGACTGAACCCAGCTGTGCAGAGTCATGTCAAAGCTGAAAACCGGAGCTAAAGGTCTGGGCAGTGGCTTGTGCAGAAGGGTGGGTGGAGTCCCTAGGACTTCAAACACCCCGATCTGGCCTGGTGGGGCCACTCCTGAGCGCCCCAGGGTGGCCGAGGGCATTCCCACCGCAGTCAGTGCGCACCCAGGCCGCCCCCTGGCAGAAGGCTGCTGGGCAGGGGTGGCGTCTGGAGACGCTGCCCGACACTCTGGGCGCTTTCCTTCCTCGGCCGCCTGGCCCTGCCGGGACCGGCTGGGGATCAGAGTCACAGTCCAGTCCGGTCCAAGCAGCTGCCCAACGAATGGGGGGGGGGGTCAGCGCCCAGCAGGGGGTCTAATGCCCAGGAATGGCAAATGGGTGTGACTTTGTCAGGAGAAAGTGGTGTCTTCCGGGCTATTCATTCCGGAAAACCCATCTGGGAAAGAAAGGCCACGTGTGTGAAGCAGGTGGGGCCCAAGGGTGCAAACTGGGGTGCAGAGGTGATGGGTGCCTGCTGGCTGGAGACTGAGGGGAGATCCTGCAGTCGAGGGTGACAGAGAGGGACACCTCGTCCCTCACAGGGGGTTGACAGGGAGTAGGGGCGTGGAGGGAGGTGCCGGCACCTGGTCATCCTGCCAGGGCTTTAGAGTTCTGACACCAGCAAGGGAACCGGGAAGACTGGCCCTGCCGGCCGGCGGGCTGGGCCCTGACCCCCTGTGGGGTGGAATGTCCGTGGTCTCAGAAAGGGCCCAGGAGCCTTCTGAACCTCTGAGGTGGGGTCGGGCTAGACCACCAGCCAAACGTCAGCTAGCGGGGAACTAAAACTCAGGAAAATCAGGGTTAATGGGCACATACGTTATTAAAGGGCGCACGCACCCCTTGAGCGAAGTCGGGCATCAGAGATAAGCATTTCCGCGGGCCTCCGGTCGGAGTCTGCAGGGCCAAGGCCGGCCCTGACCCTCGGACTCACGCTCCCCGGGGGGAAGGACCTTCGACCAGCTCTGCTGGGCACACCCAGGGCCGGCTTCTGATGATGGGGCGCCCAACTCCCAGGAACGAACGGGCCCGGCTGCCTGGCTTTCCCGGGATGGGTCAGCTTGGTGGGAATGGGGGGGTTGAGGGAAGAAGGTGGCCCCCAGCTGTCCAGCTCTGCCCCCTACAGCCCCTGTGTCGGGACCAGCCACCATCAGGCCCCAACCCTCCTCTTCACTGGGGTCGCCTTTGTCAGGGCATAAAGTTCAAAACGTTACAATAGATATACCTCTTCTGAGAAATAAGGGTAGGCTTCATTCAGCTTGTCAGTTTATAAGGGAACCTGCAGGGCGGTGAAGCTCACTCAAAGAACATTAGAAGAAAGGCTATTTATTGGCAATTTGAAAAACAGAAGTTCGAATAAAATTGCTGAATTAAACGCCAAACAGATTACTGTTTACTGGGCAGCAAAATCATAGGCTTCGTTTTCTATTGGGTGGAAATCGTGGCACCTTCACGAGACTAAATCTTCAGGGCTACCTTGGAGTCTCCCTGTCTTGGGCTCTGGCATTGGTAGGCAGTGACGGCCGCTCCCCAGAAAATCGGGGGTCCTCGGGCCGACCCACGGGGCAGGAGGGCGGGCATCAAAAGAACCTGCAGTTTTCCTCTTGGCCTTTTCTACAGGCTGGGGGTGATTTTTTTCCTAAAACCTTCTTCCAGGTGCGGACAAGGGGCTCCATCAAAAGGCGCCCACCCTCCCGGCGGTTCCGGAGGTCACAGTCGGACTGTGGGGAGCTGGGAGATTTCAGGGTGCCGGAGCCGTCCCAGGAGAATGGTGCCCAGGAAGACGCCGGGGACCAGGTGTTCCTGCCCAAGAGCAAGGCCCCAGGCTCGCCTCCGCCCAGCGAGGGGGTACGGGGGGTCCACGGGAAGCCCCCCCTGAGGAGGACGTCCAGCAGGACGGAGCGGCAGGAGGAGCAGGCCCAGGCCCCAAAGGAGGACCTGCAGCCTGAGAAGGCTCCAGGAGATGCCAAGGAGGGAGAGGCAGAGCCATGCCCCACAACCAGCACAGAGGCGGAGAACGGGGCTGGCAGCCCCTCCGAGGAAAGACCAGCCACGGAGCAGGAAGCATCCACGGCGGAGGTGAAGGAGGAGGGCACCGGTGGTGGGGAGGAGCCCTCACCACCCAGCGCAGGCACGAAGCGGCTAGAGGAGGGGGCCGTGGCGCAGGAGACCCCCCAAAACCCCGCCGGAGGAGTGGAGGGCAGCCTCACCCCAGAGGAGGGGAAAGGCCAGGAAAAGCAGGAGGAGGGCGCCGTCCCAGAGCCCGGCTGCACCCCCACGACTGGCAGTGAGGCCCCCGAGACAGAGGTAGGGCTCTGCTGGTCCACCGGGGGGAGGCCAGTCCAGGCCTCACAGGCCTGTCCCCTGCGCTGTCCTTTACAGTCCATCACGGGTTGGCTCGGGGCACGGTCACTAAGGCACGGGGTTTCGACAGGCAGAGTCACGTCAAAGGCACTCATGGGTCAGACGGCTAGTTCCCACGAGGAGATGGGTGACCAGGCCCTGCCCTCCTGGCTGGGCCCAGCCCGACTGGCCCTTCGGCGCTGTCCTCCCCCCACTCCCTACCTGCACGCCCTGCTCTGCTCAGGAGCAAGGCCAGTCCTGCAGGGGCCTGGGGCCACAGGAAACGCTCCACAGCTCCGGCCGTCCCCGTCCCCCCCACGGTTCCTGACACTCCCATCAACTCAGCCAACCCCCGTGCTTCCCCTCCCGTCTCATTGGTTCATTCACGCGAGGCATCAGCTTCCGGCCACAGTAGCCTCTTATCTGGCTTTTCTGCTTCCACCTTTCCTGCCTGTAGAGCCCATTCTCTGCACAGCAGCCAGAGGGAGGGTGTGCGTGTGTGTGCGTGTGTATCATCTACCCGTTGCCAAAATGGCCTCCTGGGAAAGTGTCCTGGGGCTGCCGTAATAGATCGGCACCACCGCAGTGGCTCAGAACGAAGAAACAAATTGCTCCCAGTTCTGGAGGCCGCAGTTCCCAAATCGGGGTGCTGGTCCCCTCTGGAGGCTCAAAGGCAGAACCTGCCCCAGGCCTGTCTCCGCAGGGTCTTCCCCTGCGCCTGCTGTCTCCAGACGCTGCCTCCAGACCCTGCCTCCTCTCTCGTACGAGGACCCCAGACAAGGGCTGTACGACCCGCCCTCTTTCCAGAATGCTCTCACCTTCAGAGTCTTTATCACCTCTGCAAAGATCCTGTTTCTCCAAATAAGACCGCAGGTGTTCCAGGCCCTTTTAAAGACATTTTGTGGGGTGAATGAATGAATTCTAAAAGAAGAGAGAAAATTAGGTGACCCAAAAGAAATCATCACTAAAGACACCAGCATGGGTGTAAGCGGGGTGGCTTGTGTTTGGGGGGGGGGCTCCCCAGGGGCCCTCACATTTTCCCACTCAAGGATCACTCTTTTATGTTCAATTCTTTCTCTCCTTTCCACCGTTATACCGACAAAGATTTCTGAGCGGTGTTTCCGGATGATGAACTTGAGTGGGAAGGAGTGAGCAGGTAAGAAGCTAGGACGGGAGCACGAGGGGAGCCAGACAGCAGAGAACAGGCAGTGAGCGTCAGCTCAGCATGCAGGGTGGAAACTCTGGTGTCCGGGTTCAAATCCTGACTCGACCCCTGGCTAGCTGTGTGACCTAGGGGAAGTCACCTGCCCTCTCTGTGCCTTAACTGCCCCATCTATAAAGCAGAGCTCATAGAGGTACCTATGCCAGAATGCCTTTGTGGAGAACAGATGAGTTGATGCATGAAAAAGCTACACCTGGCACATATGCTATTATTACTATCGCTACTACAGTTGCTATTGTTGCCTGGTCTGGCCTCCCCAAGGACGTCGGCTGGGGCCAGGGTGTCCCCACTCTTCCCAACCCGTCCTTTCCTCTGTTCACAGGATGGCGCCTCCGCCTAGCTCTCTAAAGTGGAGAGATGAGCCCCCTGTGCCTGGTGCGGACGTGGCTGGAGACGTCTCCTTGGAACTGGTGGCCACAGGGGCGGCAGCGAATGAAGCCACACTGCCCTCATCCCGCCCCAGGCGAAGACTGGATGGGAGGGCAGCAGACTTTTATCAGCTTGAGTTTGTGTTATTTGATGGATTTAGTTAAAAAAAAAAAAAAAAAACTTATGTAAAACAATTTACTGTAGTAAATTGTCCCCAGGGGGCAATGCCCCAGGGACACCCGTCCCCCTCTGGGGTCCAGAGCTGGCCACACCCGCCAGTCCCTGCGGCTGACCTCGGCCGGGACTCCGATCTGGCTGGTCAGGTGCTGTGTGAAGGTGCCGCTTTTGTCCCGTCCTGGGGTTTCCCTGTGCTCTAGTGTAAGTGACAGCAAGTTTCCGGCAGCCAGACTGGAAAGGAAGTAGCACTGCAGAGAACACAACCCCTGTGAGCTCCCAAAGGCCTCTCACAGTAATCGGGGTGACCTACCACGGCCCACAGGCCGCAGGCTGCCCAGGGTGTCTGTGAATGCGGCCCAACCCCAAATTGTAAATGTACTTAACACCTTTTGTTTGTGCATCGGTTTTCGAAAGTTAGTGTTTCTGTATTTAATGTGAGACCCACGACAGCTCTTCTTCTTCCGTGCGGCCCAGAGATGCCAGAGGGCTGGACACCCCTGCCGGGCTCGCACTGCAGCGGCCCCTGAGACCCCCGTTCAGCATAGTCCAAGTTCAAACTGGCCGACCGGTTTTTAAGGTGCTGGACTGGGAGAGAGAATTGCAGAAACATGAACAAATGCTGCATCTGTTCCAGCAGCAGGCGGTTTTCCGGCCCCTCGGTTTCCTGGTGGGTGGCACCCCAGGAGGTGATGGACTCAGCTCCCCCACTTCTGGGGGGAGCAGGAGGGGCAGGCAGACGGCAGTCCCACCCCCACCCCCATGGACTCCCAGGGCCAGGCAGGAAGTCAGGCGGTCTCGGCTCTGCTGCACTTCCTCACCCAGGAGGCGGATGGTATGGACCGCGCCAGCCCTCGCTGGATTCATCCCGGGACTGTGAAGTGCGAGGTCCAGGAGGCGCGGATCCGAAATCTCCCTGGAGGTGCTTTGAGTGCAGCTCTGTGCAAACTAAAAACGCCCTCCGCAGCTTCCCTGGGCGGCTGCTCTTGAAGGAACCCCAGGCTCTCCCTCCCGACTTGGGAGGAGTGGGTGGGGGTCTTTGTCCCTTCCCACAGCTTCTCTCTTGCTTTTATGTTCTGTTGGAGGCGAGGGAGCCTTTGCAAGGCGCGGGGCTGACCACTCATTTGTGGGCCCATAGCCGCTCCCCTCTCCCCCACTCCTGCTGAAAGAGGTTCGTCCAAACACGGGGTTCATCTTTAGGGTCAGGCCTTAAGAGTTCAGGGTCCCCATGTGCTGACTTGGCAGTCGGCCTGGCGGTTCTTCTGGGGGTCTGTGAGACCCCCAACTCTACTCCAACTTCAGAAAACTGTCTCTCGGGCTGCAAGGCCTTACCTCGCCACTGGTACCTCGATGTTCTCGTCCCATTTGCAGTCCTGACTCCAGAGTAGCGTGCATACATGGGATATATAGTTTTTCAAATTTTAAAAACTATAACACACCTTCTAGAATGTGTAACCCAGTGAAGACTGATACTGTAATAAGCTTTGTATTTTATCCGAGTTTCAGAGACACGGAGTGTCAGTTACTTTGAGGTCTGTGTCATATCGATCTGCAATCCATCATCCATCCATCCAGCTGTTGACAGATGTCACCCCCTCACAGTACAAGGTTTTATTTATATACCTCTCTGGGTGGTTCCTGCTCTCGCCCTCGCGGCCGGGCAGGAGTTCTGTGAGTGTGTGCGTGATCGTGAGTGTGTGCGTGATCGTGAGTGTGAGATGAAAAGGAAAGGAAATGCACTTCCCCGACTCGAAAAAGAAATGGAACTGAGAGCCTGGGCTATGGATGTGAAAATGAAGTTCTTTTTCCCTCTGGAGGGTCTGTGCCTTAAGCAGCCGATGGGAGAGGAGCAATAAACATGGACAAGAACATGACATTGAAGGAGTGTGTGTGATGTGTCCAAATCCCCTCCAGTCGCCCGGTGCCCTGCGCGTCACAGTATTTGATCTGTTTTATAAAATAAAAAATAAAAATAAAACCAGAGGCCACGTTCCCAGGGGTTGCTATAGTGATGGAGGACTCACAGGGTGCTCTGGCCTGGCTGCCTCCTTCCCCGAAAGGTGCCCCCTTTGCGTGGCTGACACTGGAATGTCACAACAGGGCATGAAAGGAACCCGCCCGCGCCCCAGGTAACTGCCCGGCGGGAAGGCCGTTTCATGCAGGCTTCCTTCATGGGCCTGAGGAAAACACCGACTATCTCTGTCACTCATATATAACACACATGCATGCACACACATACCCACACATACACATGTGTACATGCACACATGTACACACATACGCACACACATGTATATACACTATCACATACACGTACCCACACATATATACACACATGCATGCACCCATATACTCACGTGCACACACATGCACACACATATCCATATATGCACGCACATACAGATTTATCCATATATTTTATCCTTTTTGTCACTCTTTTCCCTTCCTGTCCCTCTGCTTTTCCACCCAGGCTCACCTTCCTTCTGCCCGTCACCTGTGCGGAGCTCCCCTTCTAATGCTGGCCTGCTGGGGTGACTCTGTCTCGATGTCCGGAGGTGCCTTTATTCCCTTTTAAATTTTGAAGGCCAGTTTTTGCTGGGTATGGAATTCGAGACAGTCCATTACTTTCCTTTAACACTGTAAAGTACTCCCTTTGTCTTCTGTCAAGAAACCAGCGGTATGCTTAATTATTGCTCTTTTGAAGGTGATTTTTTTTTTAATTACAAAAATGCTGCAACCTTATTCTTGCATCCCAGGAATGACCCCCAGTTGATTGTGGTGTGTAATCTTTGTGATGCATTGCTGAGTTCAGTCTGCTGATATTTCCTTGAGGGTTTTTTGCATCTGTGTTCATCAGGAGTGTTGGCCTATAATTTTCTTTAAAAGAAAACTTTGAACGCTGGCCGGGCGGCTCCATGTTGGAGCATTGCGCCCAGTCAGAGTGCATACAGGAGGCAACTGACGGATCTCTCTCTCTCTCCCTCTCTCCCCGCCTCCACCCCCATCTCTCTCTGCCTACACACTGGATAACACAAATTTAAAATCCATAGATGGACCAAATACAATTCCTCAGCACCACGAGAAACATCTCTGTGGGCTTGGTCTCTGCCTTACACGGGGTTGGCCTTATTCCCAAGCAGGCTCTTCCTTCCAAGCCCGACAACCGATAGAGCGAGCTTGTTTTTCACTGATAACCATGGGAGATAATCCTGCAGAGGTTTTCTGTGGCCCCCTGTGGCCCCCGTATGTCCACATCAGAACCCACCACTGGGAAGAGGCAGGGATCGGATTGGCCAGGCCTAGGTCACGTGCCTTCTCCTGGCACTAGGGGCTCGGCGAGTCAATCTGGTTCAGTCTTCAAGGACTGTAGGGAAGCCACGGGGTGCCTCAAGGTGGAACGGGCATGCTGTTACCCAGAGAAATGACGCTGGGTAGGCCAAAAAAAAAGTTTCCAACAGGGCAATACCTGAGACACTGAACTACTAAACCACTATTCCACTGTTTGCTAAAAAAAACAAATTTTGTTTGACTCTCATTAGTTCTAGGCAAATGTGTGCCCCAGGTGAAAACAGTAGGAACAGAATGTCTCTATATGACGTGTGACCAGGGGTCTCGGGAAGAAGCCGAGAGAGAGCATGGAGCAAAGTTCAAGGCCACTCAAATAAAGCAATTAGCCTTCATCAGCCACCCAAGAGCGCCAGCCTATTATCCTCTGCACCATGGCACCGCTGTGCCCGGAGAACCCTGCTCATCACCGTGCACACAGCCCCCTGTGGTGTGGGCTCCGTGTTTGTTCAGCAGTGAACGGCTGCAGCGATTTTGGAGCGGGACCTTTCCCAGCACTCACCGCAGCCTGGCATCTCCCTCCCCTGATACCCAACACCTGAATCCTGGGCCCAACGTCCTCCTTCCCGGTCAGAACACACACCCTGAGAGCAGCCATACCTGAGGCCTCCTCTGCCACAGTGCCTTGAGCTGGTTGGTTGTTGAAACCCTTCCCAGAGGGTGTGAGAGAGCAGCTGTGTGCGCAAAACATTGGTTAGGGGCGGGAGACACATCTGCTGACTTCCCGGTCTTCTGTGGGGGGGGCCCAGGCTCCTGGTCCACCCAAGGGTGTCCTGGCCAGGGTGGCTGTGGCCTGAGAAGAGCGGGACCCCAGGGGAGCCCCGCTGTGGGCGTACAGGCAGGAGACTGCGGTCCTTTGAGACTTTTCAGATGATGAGTGCGGTAGGTGCCCCCCCAGGGAAAAGGGAACCACAGCATAAAGCCACCGGCCTCAGAAACAGGGGCAAAGAAACTCCTCACTCCTCCTCCTCATTCTGGAAAGGTGCAAGCTTCTCCGTGGGGGCAGCCCACTCCCAAGTCCGGGCACAGCCACGGAGAGGCTATGAGGGAAACAGGGCCCAGCAGGGAGCCGTGGACAAGGGCTAGGATGTCCCCTGGGTACTCCCACGAGCAAGGACTCGAGCCCTTCATGCTGTCATCCTGCAAAAAAATCAAGAAAACCACGTGGGCTTAGACAAACCCAGCATGTCAACTCTCACAGTGACGGACGGTTTCTGTGTTAAAGACGAGGGGCCTGAGCTGCTCTTTAACCAGCATTCAGAAACAAGACTCTGGAATGATACTCGGCTGGTACTCGACGGGTGGGTGCGCCCAGGGACGGACGTGCCTTCTTCCAAACCGGGCACCGGAGGCACCACTGCCGCTGGGCTCTCAAAGGGGCCCTGGGAGCTGGCTGGTGCCAGGCACCGCCCCTCGGGGGGGACAGCGGCAGCCCTGGGGACAGTCTCTGGAGGCAGTCCCACCAGGAGAACACACGAGGGTCTGCGTGGCCTCTCACTTTATGTCTGCTTTTATTCTACCAACACAAGGGGACACAGCGTTTTAAGGACTTTGTTTCCTTTGTGACTTAAAAATGTTTGGTGCCTGATGAGCTCTAGACGTATTGGGGGGTCACTTTGTAGAGTCTATAAACGTCTAGTCACATGCTGTGCACTTGAAACTAATACAATACTGCATGTCACCTAATACTGAAAAATTAAAATTAAGTATCAATTCTTACTTTTCTCATTATAAAAGCAATGCATTTTTATTTTAGAAAATTTGTGAACAAGAAAACAGTTGAAGAGGAATTTATTTATAATTCCAGTGCCCAGAGATAACTCGTGTTAACAATATTTTATGAGTTTTCTTGTAGTTTTTCATGCATGTATCTCTGTTTTGTTTTTCTTTTCAGTTCTTGGCTGATACAAAATTGGGATCTTACTCTATGTAATTATGTATCTTTAAGTTTGTAACATACTGTCCTCAGCCTGCCTGCATAAAACCACCAGTTTTGATCATGGAAACTATACGGCGTGTCTTCTCCTGTTCACCACTGGGACACCCAGAGCAAGACCGAGCCTGGACTGCAGACTCCTGTCACCTCCATGACCTCCTGAGGTCACGCACTCTCAAAACCTAAATCAAGGGACAGCTTTCCAATGGAAAAGGAAAGGACTGAGGCAACTCCAAGCTCCTTCCTGATGATTTAGGGATTGAAATACTCAGAGGGAGGCATGCAATAAGCCTTAGAAAAAAAAGGATTGTCGAGAGGAACCACATAGAAATGTCTTTAGTAAGAAGTAGCTGAGGCTCTGGCAGGACCGGAGACCGGAGTTTGGAAAAAGAAACAACTTTTCAATCAGATCCGGCTTGCAGTGGGTGAGACACATCTCCAATCCCTGAGATGCCGAGGCCTGCGGGTCAGTCGATGCCCGGTGGCCCTGCAGCAGATAAGTCTCCGCACAGCCACCGGCCAGTTGCGGGCCAAGTTCCCAGGAAGCTTCCTGTGAACGGCAGACCCACCAGACAAAAGTGGGTTCTCACGTCCAAGGACTGACCGACCCTTCCACGTCAGAGCCGTGGCTGCACCACGCACTCTGAGCTGGGTCGGAGCTCAGCAGCGCGCGCACACAGGTTATAAAACAGTCCCTAACCCCTCACCATAAGTGATTTAAAAAACCATGCATGGGTTCACAGCACCTGCCGTAATGTCGCCCCAGAGGCATTCCAATGGTGCCTTAGTGGACTAGTCTTTCCTTACCCCATCTTCACCCTCCCACACACTGACCCCATGTCCAAACTGTCATGTGCCATGGTGCTTTTAACACTGCCACCGCTCTCAAAAGCTCTGACGCCACCAAACCCCTTACATTAAATGGAAAGACTGGACCCTGGGCTTCCAAGCTCTCTGAGAGCCTCTTCTTCCACGTGGGTTCCCATCACACCTGCCCAGCAGCCAAGCTGAGCAACTTAGCACGGAGTTGTCTGGACATGCGCCTGGGCATGCCTGCTCCGGGACCATGTCCTAAGGAAACCCTGTAAAACACGGGGAAGTACATACACTAATGGGTCACTCAAACAATGTTTACACCAGTGAAATGCTGGATGCCACTTATGTGTCACACAGTAGAAGAATAAATAAGAAAATTACGCTATATGGCATTGATGAGATAGTCTGCAGTCAGTGCAAACGATGGGAATGCAGGCAGAGGGAATTTAAAACAACTGACAACAAAAACCTTGCATGGGGACCAGGACAAAGGGAGCAGAGGTCCCTGGCCTTGCCATCACTCACGGCAGGGCAGTGAGTGGGGGAGAGGAGCCCCAACACCCCCAGGAGCAGGACACTGCGGCCCAGGCAGCACAGTGAGCCTCGCAGGGCCACTGTCTGACAGCTCAGACAGCTGAGGCCTGGCTCTGGGGACTGACAGTGCTTCCTTCCTCACAGACACCCTGAACCCCACCCTCTACCTGGTAGCTCCCAGTCCTTAGCACAGTACAAGAAAGACAAGTGGCCTCAGGCCAGAAGGAGGGGCTATCCACCCAATTTTCATGTACCATCAAAGCAAAGAGCGGGCCACCGCTGCCCACCCTAGGCACGCGCTCCTGCCCGCCTGTGGAGCCACGGGCTCCGAGATGCTACACGGCCAGAATGAGGGAGAGAGGTTTTTCAGCTTCTGCTCTTTGTTGTGAGGTGTGTTGTGTTTCCCTGTCGCCCTCCCCAAGGGCAGGAGGTCTGGTCCTGACATTCTATCACTGAGTGGCAGCCCAGGGGCCACCTGCCCTGGGGAGATAGGAAGGGGGGAGGGGATGAGCCGAGAAGGCGGGGCAAGCGAGAGCTCTCAAAAGGGGAGAGGGCAAAAGCACCACCTGGGCCTCAGAGAGCAGTGTGACCAGGCTGCCAGCTGCGGGCTCCGTGACCTCGAATTAAAGGTAGCTGAGGATGGAGGAGGGCTTCAGAAATGACGGGCCTCCGCCGTCCGACCAGTCGCCGCAGGCGGGAGGAGGGAGGAGGGGGGCTGGGGAAGGAGGAGCAGCGCAGGGCCAAGGCGGGCGAGGCTAGGAGGGAGCCGGGGCCAGAGCCTGCAAGCGGAGACCTGCGCTCCCGCCCCGCTGGGCCAAGGGCCTGAGAGTCCGCTCTGTGTGGCGCCTCCCGCCGGAGGGAAGGTCCTGCCCACTGCCGCTGCCTTCTCCGTCCTCCACGCTACCGAGGCAGCCACCTCTGCTCCCTCGTCCACCCCCTTCAGCCCACGTTCCGAGCTCTCGGCGGTTCCTAACCCGGAGCCACCGCTTCTTGCCGTGTGGCCTCAGTGAGCTGCTTAAACGCCTCTGGGCCTGGATGTCCTCATTGCAAAATGAGGACAGCAGTGGCACCTAAGGGCACGTTGTCAGGAATGTCCCGTGAGTTCCAAGCGTGCAAAGCTTTTAAAGAGGGCACTGGCCGTCGTGCACGTTAGGGGAGGTCGGCTGTTCTGCTGGCTCCTAGAGACTGTTTCTCCCCATCAGCTTCCCGCCGGGACCGGGCGTACCCGGCTCTCGCCGGCTCCTCGGCCGTCTTTCCCAGACCCACCCGCCAGCGGGCGTCGGCTGGGGGTGCAGGGTGGGGCTGGGCCCGGGGCGCTCCTCTGGGGGCGCGCCGCGGGGACAGGGCACAGACCCGGCGCACTAAGGGCAGTCTCAGCGGAGAGGGGGCGCTCCCCGCAGGGAGCGAAAGCCGGCGTCCGGGAGACGCCGGGCGGCGTGCCTTCGGCGGGCCCGGTCCCGGCGCGCGGCTGCCCGGTGGTGGAAAGGCAGGGCGATCCCGGGCCGGGGAGGGCGGCTTCCCGGGCGGCGCGGGCGGAGGCGTGGAGCCCGGGAGCGGGTGCAACTACTCGCCCGGTGGAGGACGTGCGCGTTCCTGCGGCTCCTCCCCCGCACCCGAGACCCGAGAGGGAGCGGTCTGGGAGGTGAGGAGGGTCGCGGCCGGGTCGGGGCGCGGGGGAAGCGCGGCGAGAGGCGGGGCGAGGCTGAAGGAAGTCGCCAGGACAGGGTTTGCCGAGAGCGGCTCGTTGGTCTAGGGGTATGATTCTCGCTTCGGGTGCGAGAGGTCCCGGGTTCAAATCCCGGACGAGCCCAGGCTCTTTATATTTTTTCTTTCTCCTTCTAACAATTGAAGGAAAAAACCCTTTTCCTCCTCCCTTTCGCTCGAATGTCGATCGCCCCAACTTGGCGAAGCCAGGCAGCGAACGGGATCGATTCGTGCCATGCACGGTCCCCGTGAGCCCGGGTGCGAGGCATGAGCATTGCTCGTCCCCTTTCAAACGCACCGGATCGGAAAAGGGTCGCCTCGAGCGGCGCCCGGGGCCCCCCAGCACCTCCCGGCAGCAGTAGGGGCGCCTGCACCGGCGGACCGCGGCGCACGCCCAGTTGGTTCCGCGGGCGGCGTGGGCGTCGGTGAGACGGACCCACCCGCCGGCGACCCCAGGGCGGAACCCTGCGGCCGCGGCGCACGCGCTGCGCCCCGGAACCGGCCGGGCGCGCACCGCGTCTGCAGGGGGTTCCGTCGCGTGCAAACTTTCTGCGTGCCCACGTGACACCTCCTGATGGCATTTAAGTGTAAGGCGCGCTCTCGGTCCGGAAGGTCCGGACTTGGTGGCTTTGCAACCACGCGCACCTCCGACGTCTCCGGATTTGTTCTAAAATTTATTTAGGAGTGCGAAAGTCCAAAGAGGGAAAAGTGGGCTCGTCCGGGATTTGAACCCGGGACCTCTCGCACCCTAAGCGAGAATCATACCCCTAGACCAACGAGCCGACGAGCTCCTGCCCCGGCGCCATGACAGAGGAAGGTGCAGCTACTTCTCCCCGCGCCCCCAAGCGGTGACTTTTATAAATGTATCTATTTCTTTTACCCGTTCTTAACGTTCTGTAGTCACTTTTCCGCGCTCTACTTCTCTCTTTTGATCTTTGCACATCAGTGACATAAAACAACGGGGCCGCTACCGGTGTGACATTTTCTCTACTTCGAAGAGTGTAATTCTAGGTATATTCACGGCTAATAAAAGTGCAGTGGGTCAGTGGCGGGGCCGCTGCGCCCGGGTTCCAGGCCCGCCCTTCCCGGGTTCTGGCGGTTGGGCTTTCCAGCCACGGGGCGCTAGTCGGTTTCTGGCCTCCGTTACCCTACGTGCGAGGCCCCACCTGTCCAGCCTTGGGAACTCCCACCTCTGCCTTGTCCCTCAAACTGTTCCCTTCAGCTGGAAAATCTCTTTCCTTCTGCATACATCCCAAAGGCTTACCTCCCCAGAAGACCTTCTAACGTATTAAAACTAATTGTATTTATCTCTTTCATCATAATTGCTGGAGGACCAGACACCAACACTGAATTCTACTGTATAATTGGCAACCAATTTTATAATTGGTTATAATTGGTGCCCAATGTCTTTAAGGCATGACTTATTTACTATATTTTACATTTTTAAATAGTATCGAGGCTTATGCCAGCAAAGCCGACACTCGATGAGTAATTGCCGAATGACTGAAATTTGTTCTGAATTCCTTCACCGTACAAATGTTGGTACATGGACACAATCAATAATTGTGAATTGTCACTTGGACAAATACATAACCAGATAGGAAATCACAAACCGGGGGACTCTCCCGAAGAGAACAATACATTAATTTTATTCCATATGCTGTTCATTCAAGGGTGTATTCCTGTGTTCAATAGGTCCCTTTATTCGACAAGCGGCCAGAAGCACTACCTGCCGGACACTGAACTGTCGACTTTCTTCCTGGGTCCGACCTCAGTAAGTCACAGGTGTGGGGCTCTAGCATTTGAATCCACCCTCGTTTGATCTGAAACTGCCTGAAGTTCCTCTCAGAGCTCAAGACTAAGAGGATAAGAATCACTTTGACGTGTTTACTAGTTCTAGACGCCAGGAGAGTGTATTAGTCAAACCTGGCTGGGGAAAGCTGTGCCCTGAAAACGTAAGAAGTTTGGGTTTCCCCCAGAGTGAGGAAACTACGAAGTATAACTGGTTTGGTAAAATGATGTCACCCTTTCAAATTCCAGATAACCTCCCTCTCTGCAGCTGTTAAGGGCACTCTATGCCCCCCCCCCCCACTTCCCACTTGAATTGACTAGAGTGGTGATAATTGTCAGGGTTTTTTTTCCCCCTTCCTCCTACCTGTCTGTAGTGATTGAGAAATAGTTTGTCTTGTACTCTGCAGGCTCCCCCAGAGTATCTCCTCTGCCCCTCCCATCAAGGATGCAGAAGGACCAATTGTAACAAAACTCAAGATATCAGTTGCCTAACCCACACAGAGAAGCATCTCTCCTGGTAAGAGGCACACTTGCGACCCTCTGCAGGACACCTCCCCCCCCGGTGACACGGTGGAGTACACAGAGATGGTTGCAGAGCATCGAGAGACAGAGGGCCTCCTGGAATATTCAGCCTGGTCACTGTGACTGAAGAAACTGCTAACTATGAACCCCTGTTACTCTTATTATTCCAAGTTGGTGCCCCAGTGCCCAGGGACATCGGAGACAGTAGAACACTCAGATTTTTCATAAAGTTCTAGTAAAAAGAATGTAACCCTCCTCCTGGATTAAGATGTTCTTTCTGTAGAAATGTCAGTGAAACCGACTGAACTTCAGGCAAATTTCCCCATGTGGCTTGGGATTCGCCCTTGACTCTGTCTGATGTTCACCCGTGAACAGTGAAATTCCCAGTGTTCCAGGAACCTCTGGTTGCCACCACTTGCAGTTGCACCTGTCCTCTGGCAACAGGTCTCCAAACACAAGGAGGGAGGGAAGCCAGGGAGAACACGGTGTGGAGAAGGTTCTACCACAATCACTGGGATCTGCTGGACATGTGGTGCCCGTCTCTCTCTTCCTACTGTCTCCCACTAATCCCAGCTCTAGAACATTCTGCTCCTATATATTTGTCAACACCAGATGACCCCAAGTGTCCCTTATGTTATCTCTAAGAAGGCAGAAGGCGCGGAAAAGTTCTCAAGGTAGGACCCTTCTCGTGAGTGCGTTTCCCGTGCACAGTAGGGAACAGGCACCCAGAGAAGCCAACGGGCAGGGCATAGACAGCTACTGTCCCCAAGCCTCTGCACTGACTTAATCTGCCCCCAGGAGCCCCCTCCTTTCAGAGGCCGAAGCTCCTCTAAAAAGGACCTTCTGACCTGATTGGAAGTCTTCATTGATTCGATTGCACCGCCCGGGGTGCTCGAACTGGAAAGAGGAGTTTCCAGGAGGCATGTGAAAAGGAGGACGTTAGTTGAATGGGATCCTCAGGCTAACAGTAATGATGGGAATTGAAGGGGTTTCCCGCCCCCCCCCCCCCCCTTACTGTCTGGACAGAGGATCAGAAGTTACAGTGCAAGGACAATGAGGAAAACCATCTTGGTGGCACTTTTCCTTTGTAACCCGTCAGGACTAATTCGGGAGACATTTGTCTATTCATTCAACAAGTGTTTACCACCTACTGATGGTCCAGCGTTGTGTCCTGCGGGAACACTTTGCTCAGGTGGTCTGTTGGCCCTTCTGCTGCTCTCCCCCTCCCCCTCCCCGGACGGAGGTGCCTGACTGCCTTCTGCTGGCCCCCTGGGGGGCCTCGGCACCCTAAGCCAGGGCCCAGCTCATTCACTCACCTTCCTCACGGACCAGGTCCACCTGGGATTTGAGTCTTGGGGAACTGGTAGCATCATTCTCTGCTCCGACTAGAAAGTGGAGGCCACAGTGTTCTGGTTGCTTTTCTCTGGACAATTTTGCCACCCAATGCATATGTGGCTCTGCCATTCTTTTTCTGAGCCGTGTCTCGGTCCTGTCTTTCTCTCCACCCCGCTGCCAATATCATGTTTCATGCACTCTTCCCATGCCCTGCCCTGTCATCGCTTCCCACCGCCTGCAGAATGGAGACCACCCAAGGCACTGGACCAGTGCCTTCTCTTCCAGCGTTCTATCCTTCCTCTTGCCCCCTCATCCCCCTAAAGTTCCAAGCCACCCTGTGTCTTGCCCCTGGCACTGCTTTCCCGGGTCTGAGTTTGCTTCTCCTGTCTCTATCGGGGAACCCATTGAGGCCACCTCCTCTGTGCGTCTTTCCCGACACCCCCCCGGGCCAGGGGCCTCCCAGGCAGCGGCGAAGATTGTCACAGCACAGGTGTCTTTGAGGACCCCGGCGGCCTTGGGTTTCTCCGTTATTCGCCCTTGTCTTCCAAGCAACTTACACAGTTCAGCGTTCACTCGTCCGCACTGGTGGACCATGTGCTTCGCGACAGTCACGCCTGAGCCGTCCTACACCTGTAGGACAGCATTTAGAAGTCACTCCCTTAAGGAGCTCGTGGTCTCTCCAGAGACACAGCAGAAGGTTCCTGCTCAGGGAAACGGGGCGAGACGGCTCTGCCGGGCTTCTGTAGTTCTGCCTCCCGAACGTTAAAACTAACCAAGACCCAGCTAAACGCCAGCAATGGAGTGCGCGAGGAACCAGTGGGCTACTCACCTGGTCGGGTGCGGTCTCCGCCCATGACCACCTTTCAGCCAATCACAGGCGGTAGAGCGGCGGGCAGGGCCCAAGGACTGTTTCCATTGCCTAGAGATACGTGGCTGCCCTAGTGACGTGGTCGCTGTCGTGAGGAGCCGGCGTGACATCGTAGCCAGCCCGTGTGACGTCGTTGCCACGGAGATGCCGTAAAGCAATGTGTGCCCTGTGCTGGTAAAGATGCCGCTGCGCCCAAACCTTCTGGCTGCCAGAGCGGCGGAAGCGCAGCACGTCCCGTTACGTCCAGTGCGGCGTACTGTGTAATAAACGATGACGTGCCCGGGGTGCGTGTCTACGATGCGCGCTTTTCATCATTCCCGTGGAGTGCACCTTTTCCACCTGCGAAGAAGGCTTGCCGTGGGGCAGTGTGCCGGTGACGTCCGCCTGCAGCGGTCCGAGTCTCCCGTGGCCTCCCTCTCCCGTGGCCTTCCCGTCTCGTGGGCTGGCGTGCTGGCGTGGCATTCCACGCTGGGACACGCGGTGCAGGCTGTGGTGCTGTTGCCCAGGAGTGTGTGGGTGCGCTATGGTGCCACGCACGGTGGACTCGCCTAACCAAGCATCTCTCGGGTCTCCCCGTCCCCAGCGTTAAGCACTGAACGACTGTGTTGTGCGGTTGCAGTCCTACAAGGCTAGTGGCGAAAACAGCAAAAACACCAGGAAGGGCGTTCATGAGATTAATTTGAGACAAAACCCTGGAATGCGAGTGTGCACTTGGGTTCTGTCACCACACCGCTCCTCTGCTCAGCCCAATGGTCTAAAACTCGTTTTCTGCCTCACTCTGTCGGCTTCCCTCTGATGTTCCCGTTTGTAAGCTATTCTCATCGGGACCCTTCCAAACACTTTTCGGTAGTTACTGGGCAACAAGTAAGTAGCGGGCACCGTTTCGGGCCAAGGTGGCCGAGCTGGGCAGGGTCAGCTAGGCCCTTCAGAGTCAGGACGGGGACTTCTCCGTCCCAGTTTTTATTGATAAATGGAGGGACATTTTATTTGCAAAAGCAAACTAGATCAAAAGCACCTTCCTTTTTGTTCCAGGCAGCAGGAAAGAGTTCCCAGTTCCCACGCCTTCTTAAACCAAAAGGGGGTTTCCTACGAGGAGATTCAGACAAGATGGAGACTTCTTAACCTAGCATATTTCTCAAATTGCAACACATAAATTACTCAGTCCACGCAAAGGGCAGGCCTTGGGCACGGGGCAAGCCGGGGATGTGTTCTATCTGGGCCACTGATGCAGAAGGCTCTCCCCACCGTACCCCTTGATTATTTTTGTAAATAATTCACCGTTTCTTTAGATGAGGATCACAGAAAGAGAAGAGCTGACACAGAAGCAGGACACCCAGGCAAAGACCCGTGACAAGGAGACACAATAGAGAGATCTGTGGGCTGGGACCCTAGGAGAGGCAGAGGGGACAGGCAGGCGGACAGCCACGCAGGCAGAGGGCTGGGCGGCAGCTGTGGAGCCGTGGAGCCGAGGTCCTGGCCTCCAGAGCAGTGATCTTAGCAAGGGTGGGACCTGGGGGGCGTGACCTCGCCTGGCGAGAGGGGATGATGGACAATTGGTACCTTCCAATGGCGTACTTCAAGGGCCAAGGGATTGACCAATGAGCGGGTCGCTGGGCGGGGCTGGGCCGAGGGCGGGAGGCTGTGGCGGGGCCGCAAGTGGGGGCGCGGCGCGGAGGTGCCAGTGGGCTAGGCGGCGGCTGCTGCGAGGTGGCGCCCCGGTCCGAAGCCGGAGCCGAGCGAACCGCAGCGGAGCCCGGGCCCGGTGCGCGGCGGTGGGGCTGCAGCGGAGGACGATGGCTGCACCCGCAGGGGCCAGGGCAGTGATTGCAACCCCAGACCGCAGGCGCTGTCTGTGGTCGGTGCTGGCGGCGGCGTTCGGGTTCTGTAAGTGCAGCCGGGCGGGGCTCCTGGGGCGGGGACTCCGGGCTGCATTCGCCCCTAGTGGGGAAAGGGCCCTGCGCGCTGGCACGGAGGCTGGGGACCCAGCGTGGCCTGCGCACATGGGGCCGGGGACCCAGGAGGCGGGAGCGCGGCCCTAGGCAACCCGTGAGGCGCGGCGCCTCTCCCTCCTGCTTCCCGGGTCCCCAAGTGTGGGGGAGGCGGGGAGCCCGACCTGTTCGTGGGGGTGGGGGGGGCGGTGTGGGGGAGCGGCCCTGCTCTGCGCTCCGGTCTAGCCCCCTGCGCTCCCCGCGTGGTGACCCGGGGCGCCCAGGCCCGCCTCCGGATCCGGGTCAGGAACCCGGGTTCTGCGTTCAGCACCTCTGGGAGGAGGCAGGCTTGTTCTCATGGATGGGGCCTTTGTTGGTTGTTTCCATGTTTTCAGGGACTGTTTTGTTTTGCCTCGTAAATTCCATTCCCAGGGCTCTCCAGTCCGTTTTTTTAAGCCTCCGCGAAGGAAGAGCCCTGCAGTCTCCTGTCTTGTCTCTGGAGTCTGCAGAGCCCGGGGGAGAAGCTCACGTTATTCTGGGTAGGACGCAGAGACCTGGCATCGCCATGGAAATGGCCTGGCTGAAAAGAGATCGGCCAAAGCCGTAATGTTCCCAGACACAGACGCCCCAATTTGATAATACCTAAGACATGAAAAAGCACATTTTTAAAAAAATCTTTTTTTTTCTTGCCAAATTTCATGGGTCAGACTTACGGTGAACCTCAGGCCCGATTTACTGAGTTGGGTGATTCCTCTAGGGACCACGGAAGCGGTGTGTGCCGCCGGACTTCTCCGTGTGGTTCCCAGCAGCAGAGTCTTGCTGCCGTCCCGGCGTGTCGTTGAGTAACGATTACAAAGCGGGCCAACTCCTAAAACACACGTAGGCTTTTTCATTTCTTGATGTTTTCCAAAAATATTGGTTGCATCACAGTATCTGAATACGCGTTTACTCATAAATTTCTTTCCCGGAAAAGTCCTTTATGTAATAGTTGGAACCAGGAGAAATATAATTAAACCGATGATCCCAGGGAGCTATAAAGTATTAAATGTATAAACTGCCTACTCCCCTGCCCCCCCCCCGCCCCCCGCCCCGCGCTTTCTGGAGGTTGACAGATGAAAATGTACTTCATTTTTAAAAAATGTCTCTTCTGAGAAAAAAGGTTAAACATGTGGTGGGGGGTTGGGTGGTGGTGGTGGTGGTGGTAATATTTGTGTTTTAAGAAAACAAGTAGGAAATGGCTTTAATCTAAGGTTTATCAGAAATCTTGCAGGCTTCAGTCAGAATTGTCATGCATGAGAGATTCAACACAGCTGCAGAGGGCAAAGCCACCAGGTTGACCTTGATCAAATTCGGGGTGTTAATAGTGGCAGGACTGAACAACTAAACTGTGATTAATGGATGTTAATTACAAAAAGGGGGGGGTCTGCGGAAGTCAGCAGCTGATGTTACTAGTTAATTGTAGGAAAATACTGCATGTTTCTCCTGGCCGAGCCACCTTTTCCTGACCACGGTGTAACAGGGAAAGGTCACTGTGTATAACCGTTCATGTTTTATGGAAAAGTTTCCGGAGTTTGATCCAGGTACAGCTATTGAACAAAACTTCATCAAGCACCTTTTGAATACGAAGCACCAAACGTATTCTAGGGAGGAGGCTCCTGCCCTCACATAATTGACAGCTCAGTGGGAGAAGCAGCAGAAGTCTTCGATAATGGCGTGCTGTTAGGAACGGCGGGGAGAGTCATCGGCTCAGACAAAGTGCGGGCCACGGGAGAAAGGGATGCGGAAGTTGAGTGGGCCTTGGCGAGGGAAAGGGCGCGCAGTGGTGAATGAACCTGTTGGCAGGCCGGCGTGGTGTGGCGCTGCAGCGTGTGGGAGTCCAGGCAGGGGAGCCAGCCAGAGGCGCTAACTCATAAAGGACCTTGTTCGCCTCTGCAAAGGCTGGGCTTTATATCCTGAAGGCGGTGTGCGTATGCGGGGGAGGGAGGAGCGGGGTGCTGGGGTGCAGCAGGGGGAGGCTCCCCAGAGGGCGAGTGCCATAATCCAGGGGGAGGTAAAGACTGGAATTAAAGGACGCCTTGGAGAGCCAGTTAGAAAGCAAATTTGAAAGGGCTTGGAAATTGATTTGATGTGGGCCTGAGCGAGGGAGCGTGAGATGGTCCTGAAGTTTGGGGCTTGGGAGGGGCAGGGTCTGGGCCCATTTTTGTGAAGTGGGTCTTTTCACAGAGGAAGGGCCAGGGATGGGAGGAGGGGGTAGGAGTGTTGGTGGAAGGAGAATGTGACGTTTCTTTCGGACGTGTTGAGTTGAAGGTGCTGCAGCCGAGACATCCCTCTCCAGGCAGGTGGGTAGGGGGTTCTGGAGGCGGGGAGAATGTCCTGGTTGGGCATGTTCTGTGGCTCGCAGCTAAAATTGTGGATTGTGCAGATGAAGTCACCAAGGAACGGTGTAGTGAAGGAAATAGCAGGGGCGCGGGGGGGGGGGCAAGGACAGGGTTGTGGGGTGCAAGGAGCCTGGAGAGGAGGTCGCCTAACCACTAAAAGAACCCAGGAAGTGTGGTGACTTGCAAAGCAAGTAAGAACCGAGTTCCGGGGAAGAGGGAGTGGCCATGGTGTCGGGTGGAGGTTGGATAAGGATTCCCTGCATTTGGCTGGCCATTGGGATGCCTTGGGTGACCCTTAGGTAGGAAGGAACTCAGAGTGGGAGCCAGTCTCGGCCCTCCGAACGCAGGACCCACTCTGGTCAGCGGCTGCACCACCTGCCTGGCACCTCGTGCATCCGGGATCCTTCCCTCCCTCTTGGCTCTCCCCACTTCTTCCCCATCAGTGGTCCCCTCCCAGCATTTGAGTCAAAATCACTGCTGTTTCTGTTTTTCTGACTGTACCAAACTCCCAGCTGGTGTCCCCATGTCCCCCTCTTGCCTCTTTTTGATCCATTCTTCACACAACTGCAAGAATGATTCAGATTAAAAACGCAAAGTGGTCACGTGCCTTTCGTGGTTAGAATCCTCATTGGTTTTCCACTGCACGGAGGCCGCCGGCCGGCGTCCCTGTGGGCCGCACCGTCCATCCGCCTTCCCCTCTGACTTCAGCTGGTGCCCCTCGCCCCCTTCCTGCCACCCTCCTGTGCTTCAACCCATTCCCACCGCAGGCCCTTTGCCCGTGCAGTGCCCTTTCCCTAGGACTGCCCAGAGCTGTCCCCTTTTTAGCCTTAGCACTTTTTCAGAGGGGACTTTTCCAACCACCTTATGCAGGAGTCTCCACCCTTTACTTCCTCTTACTGTAATTTCTTACTTGGTTTTTCTTTTTTCCTCCACTAGAATCCAGGACAGTGTTTATCTTCTTCATAGAGTTATCTGTAATGCTTTGTTGCATCTGAATAATGATAATAAGTATTTGTTTGATTAAGTTCGTTAGTTTGCAACATGTAGTTAGGGTTCGGCTGGCCCATTGTCCGTACCCAATGAGTGTTGGGTGGGCTATTTCTCCCAAGTGGAATTTCATGCATTATCTGATGAGACATGCTTATTGATGTTTAGAGAGATTTTTAGAGAGAGGAGAAGGGAGGGAGGGAGACCGGGGACCAAACCTGCAGCCTAGGCTGGGAATCAAACTCATGGCCTCTTGGTTTACAGACAATTCTCTAACCAACTGAGCCACACCAGCCAGGGGGATTATTTTCATTCTTTAAGTACCATTTCTTATTTCTCCAGAGATGTACGGAAGGAATGAACATTCTTTGCCTCCTTTAAACACCATAGCTTTGGAACTGCTAGTCATTACATATTTAAACTTTTTCCCCACGTTTGTTGTGACAGCTAAGGGTTTTATCAGTAGGACTTTTGACGGAACTTAAACTTGAGACACCGCTGCCGTAGAAAGACCACACATTTCCCTGTCAGTCCCTCAGCCTTTTACTTAGTTACCACTTCGGACAATAAAACAAAAACCTAGATTAAAAAAAAAATTCTACTATTTGTTTTTATGCCTTCTTGCTGGGCTCCGATACTGCCAAGGTGAGAACAGACGTTACAATGAGAGGCTCATGAGAAAAGTACAGAAAATGCCATCTGTGTTTTCAGAGTCTTCAGTCACCATGCAGCCAAATGAACGCCTCCTGGGTGCCAGGCACCCTTGGGGGCTGAGGGTGCAGCGGGGAGCGGGGGGCCCTGGTGGGAGTGGCCGTCAGCCTGCGCACACCCTCCGAGTGCCCAGGGACAGGGTCAGCTCCTCACAGTCACCGCTCCGAAGCAAAGAGGATTCACCTCTTGTGAAAATTTGCGGTCATTAAAAAAAAAAAAGCAGAAAAAGAATATTTACTTGCATGACAAAGTGGCTATTTTTTAAATGTACAAAGGCTCCATTGTGGGAATTTCATCAATGAGCTTTTCTACCAAGTTTTTATAATGTGATTTAACTGGGAATAACTTGATAGGCGGTTTTTGACAAATCCAGGGTGGGGCAAAAGTAGGTTTACAGTTCAGTATGAGTTTATTCTTATAACGTTCGTTCTGTTATTTTCCGTGTGAACTGTAAACCCACTTTTGCCACACCTTGTATCTCTGGCTCCCCATGAAGTAAGTGCTGTCTGCTGCTCAGTGCTGCACTTTCCTCTCCGTCCCCCCACCCCACCCCACCCCACCCCACCCACCCCAGGCTGATTTCCTTCGGTTCTCCTGGGTGATTAGAACCTTACAGCAAGAGCCTGAGGGTGTATTTAAATAGTATCTCCCAAGAATTTGAAACTCCTAGTAAGTACATACACCTGACATGTACCTAAACCTCGGAATGATTTTACTCTGGCTTCTAAGACCACTGGTGTCATTTGAAAGAACATACATGGTTTGTTTTGGCACAGAATGCATTACCGATCAGTTTGGTCTTTAACCCCCATCCAAGGGAATTTAACTATAAGAACTAGAAGCATCTCTTTGAGGTCTCAAGTATCAGCTGGCTCTGGGT